TCATGGAGGAAGGGTGTGGTGGAGGGGCGCTGCTGCATTCGTGGAAGCCAGGAAGCAGATAGGCTGCAGGGAAGATGAACCTTTCTAGGGCAGGCCCACATTGATCCACCTTCTCCAACTAAATCCTACCTGTCTACAGTCACTACCCAGTTAGTTCATTCAAGCTAAGATGGACTGATTAGTATACAGCTCTCATAATCTGATCATTTCAACTCTGAATATTCCTGCAGCGATACAGAAGCTTTTGGGGAACACTTCATATCCAAACCATAATAAATACACACTGGGTAAGTTAAGAAGAGGGTTTGGTTCACGGTTCTTGATCCAAGGTCGAGGGGCAACATCAGGTGTTGGCCTTCCAGCAAGAAGTCCCAATGTAGTAGTGTAGGATATCACTGTCCAGAGACAGGGAGTATGAGAAAGTCCTAGTCAAAGGGGCTCTCATAGCAGACCCTCTCTGGAGATAAGCCATTAACCAACCCATTAATCATGAGTGGATTATTCCTCTCATGTGGGCATAGCTTTAATCACTTCATGAAGGTCCCTTGCTCTCTTCTCTTTAATATCTCATAATTCCGACATGAATTTTGAGGGGGGAAAAGCCATATTCGAAACAAAGTAGCCAGTGTACCTGTCAATGTTGGGGACAGGGAGAAGATATTGAAACACAGATGTATCTCGAGCAGAATGCAAAATATGTAATTAACATATATAACGAAATTTCAAGTTGCAGTGGACATTCCTCAGATTTGCCTAAACTTCAAGACAAGAGTATCCCGAAATGAGGTTTAAAACTCTTTTCAGGGGGTACCTTTTCAAGGTCTGCTCCTCCTGGGTCACCCCTAACCAGAGCCTCTGGTGCGCGTCCAACTGAAGCAAAGAAAGGTGCAGCCACTTTTGACCCAGCATTCTCTAACAAGGCCCAGGAATAAGGAAACATGAGGCACTGCGCAGTGTTTAGGAAAGCAAGCAAGGCCAAAGGGAGGTAAGAAGAAGGAGGGGGGGTGTTCTGGAGCCCCTCACACTCAGCTGTGGAGCCGGCGCACATCCCTCTTGGCCTCCAGAACGAGGCGGGAGTTGGGGAGGAATGGGGCCCTCAGTCTAGCCACAGGGCTGCTCCCAACAGGACCCAACATGCAAAATCCGCCTCCCTCAATTCCCGCCCCCGTCGGCGCCCCACTGGGAGGGCGGTGCGGGCGACGCCCTATGACGTCACGCGTGACGCGGCGCAGTGGGCGGGAGAGGGTGACTGTGAGGCGTTTCGCCATGGCGACCGCTCCTGGCGACGCTTTTTCTTTCCCCGCTTGGGGATGCCCCTTCCATGTCTTATACTCTAAGCAGTGCCGAGTCGAAGGGCGTGGGAGCTCTCTGACCGCTCGCTATGGGGGAGGGAAGAGGCGAAAACTTGGACGGTGTGAGCACCGACCGCCTTAAACTGGAGTTGCTGGAAGAAATCTACCAGAAGTGAGTCGGCGGCGCGCGGCCTCCCTCGCCCGTGAGGGGCAGGTGCGCGACCCCAGGCCTCCCGGGGCGGCCCTTCAGACCGAAGCCGTCATGGTTGCTGAAGGACAGCGTCAGGATTAATAGAGGGCACGTCAGGCGACATCCCCTAACAGTGTTCTGTGCTAGAGGTTGATTTGCCTTTTGATTAGTTATGCCTGTCAGCATGCAGGTTGCACTTTCTTATGGTTAAGACTAAGTGGCCCTGCGCGGTGGCGCACACCAGCAATTATAAAGTCTGAGGAGGCCG